CTTATTCTAAGACACAAAAGCACGTGTGAGAGTGTGTGTTGAATATACACTCTTATTCACTTTCACAACACAAAAACAGCACACAAATACACACATTAATTAATGGACAAGTGAGCTATATCATCTTCACATGTAAAATGCAAAAATGTTGAGCAAACAGATTAAGAATTTGTGGAAACATTACTCTCATACTCACACACACACAAACACACATGCACAGAGAGGCATCATCTTCTGAGTATAGCACATAATGCAGACTGTGGCTGGAACCCATTTCAGCAAATGTGATTAGCCCAACACACGCCATCTCATTAAGAGATTGAATCTTAATGCCAGCAGTGTTTCAGAGCACTATTTGGCAAGAGGCAAGCCCAGATGCTTATCAGTGTCTTGATTCATACTGCAGCCCATCAGCAGACATCAGCAGCACATCAGGGATTCCTATAGAGAGTATACAGAGTGGTATACATGCGTAGATTTCAAAAATCTACACACATAAACACGAACACGCACTATCAAGCTTTTTTCTGACACGTTTGATCCACACACACACACACAAACACACACAGCAGCATCTGTTTCAACATAACAGCTTACTAATTAAACGATCAAAGAAAACTTTGCTTTTATAAATCATGTACTTTTCTTTGTTTGTGTGTGTGTTTGTTCATCTCCTACCACGTGTGAGTGTGTCTGTGTGTAGCATGTGTGTGCAGCCATGTGTCTTTGTGTATTTGTGGCCATATCTACATTTGCACACAGTGTATTGTTGATACATGAATGTGTGGGTTTAAAGTGAATAAGCTTCTGTCCATATTCTCCCTTATATTTTGCTTCTAAGTTCTGCCTTTTAGCCTGAATATATGTATACATGTGTTTTAACCACTCACAGTCACCTTGCATTAACATGCACCACATGATGGAGAAATATTCCATTAACTTAAATAACATCTGACACACTGAAATAACTGTACATTAATACAGAACCTGGAGTTTGCAATAGTGCGATCACTGGAGCAGCCAATATAACAGACAAGTATAATGTCACATTTTACAGTTTATTGACTGACATTGCAATGGGAGGCTGTATTCATTAAGCTTTAATTTGCAGTCTGGATGGATCAAAACTATCCACAATAAAAAGTTATTTCATAAGTGATGTGACTCACTACATTACAATTTAATCTAAACTTCAAAGTTTTACAACAGCCTTACATGAAAATAATTCAGCTGAATCCAGTAGGATCAGTGAGTTTCATATATAAGTTTCTCGGTGGAACAGCAAACAGCAACAAGTTAATGACTTTAGCCAAATTATGTAAATGAGAAAAGACATACAAGGTAAACAATCAACACATATCCAGATGGGGGCAGTCAGTACACATTAGAGCTCTGTGAAGCATTAATTTACATTTTAACACTGAGCTAAATGATTCCATTTATGTGATTTTTTGTTAGTAATGTTATTCCCACTGAGGATCAACACCCCAGCTCTTTGCAGTGGTTGACTGTTTTCAGCTCATTTCAGCTCAAAAAGTAAACAAGTCAAGGACACCTACAGGTTTTCAGAGTTGTAAGATATCATTGACCAAATAGTGTTTACCGTTTATTTTTGAAGATTGTTTTTGGCATAATGACATATGACAGGTCAAGGCCATAGAATTCATGACATACACAGGAACACACGTAAAAATGGGTTGTGTCCAAGGCCCCAAGTGCCAGAACATTTGGAAAATCATTGGAAAGTATGCAAACGTAAGTGCAACATATTTTTCTGTGATCAGCAACGCAATCTGCTCTCAAATAAAAGTAGCTCCATTATCTGTAAATCAACAAGTCTGAAGTCTAAGTCTAGACCAAAAGGGCCGCAGCAAAACAAAGTGTCCCAGGCCTTCAAATCAAGATGCCTAACATCCACTGTGTCTCCAACTTATTTTACACATTCTGTCCTTACATCAAGTCAATTTTTTGGGGTAATAGATAAATCAACTCTATCAAAAATAGTAAAGAAAAATATTGCATGGTTAAAATTATTGATTGTTCTGATGTGGTGAAGTCCATCCATTGTTAGTGAATGGAGTCATCTAAAGAAAAACATTTAAAAAACCTCTGCCCCTGCATTCACTGCTGCTTGGGAGTTAAATCTTATTCTGGTGTTACATTTAATAGTAGTCACACTTGACCCAGGATATCATATCTAAGTGATTAAAAGTCCAGTGTGTAACATCCAGAAGGATCTATTGGCAGAAATGGAATATAATATTCATATGTATGTTTTCATTAATGGATAATCACCTGAAAATAAGAATCATACCGTTTTTGTTACCTTACGAGCGTTTTATATTTACAGACGCCGAGGATCGCCTTCCGTGGAATCCACCATGTTCAACCGCTGTTACTGTTTCTACAGTAGCCCAGAAGGGACAAACCAAACACTGGCTCAAGATGGGGGCATTCGCGTTTTTTGTGTGTTTCATAGTTTCTCCTTCATGCTTGGGAGGGTAAGGAGTTGCGATCTACACCGCTAGATGGCACTAAATTCTATATACTGGACCTTTAACTTGTAAATAGGGAGAGACACGACTAATAGAAAGTCAAGATCATTTACAACATGAACTAAGATACTATATCAAGTATGCTGTGTACACACACAGGCAGTGTCTGGATATTTGCAGAGAAAGCATCACATCGTAAAATACTATGTATGTACAATAAACGGAAATACTGCTATGGGTACAAAATCCACATCTCCAATTCCCACATTGATTCTGGAAATTTCTGCATCACAGCACAAAAAAAACAGATTCTATTGGCCCTCAAAGTCAGATTATTTTGCTAATCTCACTGAGATTTCTTTGTCTCACTTAAACAGTTTGTTTAAGGCTGTGGTCGTGAGCAGATGTAACAACTTAACCCCTGCGACCTCAGCTATCCCGCCTGAGCAAATAAAACGTCAACATCCGGCTTCACAGTCCCTCCTCTGACAGCTCCACTTCCTCCTTCTCACAGCACTCTTCGTCCAACAAGACTGTTGGAACGGGAAGGGATGTGGTGTTTCATCACCCCAACCATGCTGCAGTGGTGGGCGTGCTGGTGTATGTGTGTGAAAGACAAACGTATGCATAGATTCATGCATCTGTTGTATATATGCTGTATATGCATAGATAGATGCAGTGAGAGAAAAAGACAAAAAGTTTGTATTCTGTTGGAATAACTACAGCTGTGTTGATGCTGAGCCCACTCTTCCATGAAACACCAACTCCCTGTGTAATAATCTGCCACATGTTCATATAAATAAATTTAATTCTAAAAACAAAGACACTAAACACTCAGTGTCTGACAGCTTTTTCCTCTGAAATATCCTCAGCCACACGGGATATGATGCGTTTTACATTGCCAGGTGTTTCAAATAAACATAAAGAGAACTAGTTAACACGAACATCGACTGCTTCAACGGGTGAGCATACGCAGAAAAGAGCCCCACTTACTGAAAACCCTAACTTAAGTCACAGCACTCACCTGTCAATCAAACAATAGTCTGCATTGTTTGATTGACAGATGATTTCTTGTACATATGTGCAGCAGAGAAAGAACACAAAAGCAACAACCCACAAAGGGCTCTTGTGGATCACCAGTTCATACCAACGATCAATCAACTATCTCTGAAGATGACCACAACCAAGAAAACAACTGTTGTTGATTAATACCATTTACAGTATGTGTGCGTGTGTCATGTTGACAGGCATCCTTGAGACACAAACAGCATCAGGCAATACAACAACAAATCCTATTAGTTCAGACAGACACAAACCAGGAAAGCTCAGCCTGAATGTTAGCAATAATCTCCAAATTGGTTAATTGAAACTGCATGAGGAAAGAGGAAACTGGATGTTGTTTTTACGAAAAAAGAAAATTAAGATCAGAAATTCTGGCCATGAAGGAGCTATTTCACACCAGAAAAACTGAGCTATGGTCAGCTGAAGGCTGTTTTAAATTTAAGAAATGAAACATGTCAGCTTTAAAAGAGTCCCTCCAGGACTTTTCCCAGACCCATTCTCTGTCCAAACTGGTGATGCCAAACTCAAAATCAGCACAGGAAGAGCAGTTAATATTACATTCATTACTTTTCAGCTGACAGCTTGCTGACCTTCTCTAAAAGTCCCAAATCTGTTGGAGCTTCCAGTGTTACGTAAAGATTAGGAAGAAAATAGGGATAATATACTACTTAGTCTGATTTATTGATTCTAAATGCAGTTTTTGCAATTAGGTGTGCAATATCACTTGAGTGTGTACTGATAATTCAAATTTCAAAACCTTCACATACCAGCACACACACTCACACACACACACACACACACACACACACACACACACACACACACACCTCACACACACACACACACACACACACACACACACCTGTAGCTAATTTTTAAAGTTATTAATTTATAAAAGTTTCAGGCTCTGTCTTCCACAAGTCTTCTTGGCTGGAGCAACAAGTGATCACATTCAAAAGACATCACTGTACAGACATAAGTTGATGTAGCAAGAAATCAATCAACAGGTGAATGAAATCAGGTCAATAATAGTCACAGTAAGGACATCTTAACCACCAACATTATAAAAATGAGGGAAAAAAGATAGAAAATGTGTGTTTGTGTTTCTATGCATATATGTGCATGTTTGTTATGCATGTGCTCACGTATGCATGGGTGATGGAACTGCATACATGAAATAAATTAAATATGTAAACCACGTCCCCGTAAAACTTCAGTTTGATACCATGATGTGTGTGCGCACCATGACACCAGCTGGTCACTATCATCAGGTGAGCAACTGGCAATATCAACTAAAATCTGTCATTTTCAATTCAGCCTTCAGAGGTTTTAAACCCAGTGAAAACATAATTTAAATGAAAAGAATCAGCAGAAAAAAAGATTTCAAGTGGTTTGTACTGTCTGGCTCTCTACTGTAAAATGACTAAAAGTATAAGTACTCACACAAAAGCGTGGTAGATGAAAGCCCATTCTCTCGGTCTCTCCAACACGTTGTAGAGGTAATTCTGGAGCCGCCGATACCGCGCGTTCCGGCGGCCGCTCTGCGCGCTGTAGATCAGCGGCTTCCCCAGCAGGCTGAGCCGGGCGCCCTGCTTCCTCTCGGTGCCCACCGCACCTGCAGCGGTGGGAGACAAGAGACCGTCCCCGACTCGCACCGCGTTGTTCATCGTCCTCCTACCGGACTCCACATCTTTCAGTGCGTAGTCCTGCACCCGGCGTCCCGTTGAGGTCTTCAGCCAGAGCCCGGTGCCGCCGCTGTCGTCGCCGGTGTGACTTCTCGGCATGGCATCACCAGCGCTGTGCGCTGGGATACCGGCAGACATTCACATGAAGCCAAGCGCCCTATCGCCAGACGGTGTTTGGCTACTTTGACTTAAACTACACACTAAATGAAACAATGCAGTGGGTGAAGAGTTAAATGTCTAATCTGCTCTCACCTTGTCATTCTGTGGCCAGTTCAGCTGATTCACAGTCCGGTTTGGACACTTTGGCCATCTGCGCAAGGTTGGGAAAGAGTTGGGTTATGAAGGAGTGGATCCATCGAGACATTTGGCGGGGGGAGGGCTCTACCACCCTCCCACACTCCCACACACTTTCTTCCACAAACTCACTCTCACTCGCCGTCTTGCTTCTGTTTGTCAATGTGTGTGGAGCCTGCCGGTGCTGCCCCAAAGCATGGTTCTCTTTTACGCACCGGGCAGAGAAGGACGCAGCGCAACCAACACCACCAGAACCACTGGATTAGTAGGTGATCTCGGCATCTCTCGTGGCTGTATCTGTGGTTTCCGATTAGAATCGTAAATGTTAATTGAAGAAACATCAAAAGACACCAATGCACCGATGACGCAGGTTTTACGCAGGCGAGGAAATTACCCAATGCCCAAAACAATCACGTTGGTTGATCGTTTGGATCGGTTTATTTCAGAAAATATTGAGGAAAACACGCTGCATGAATCGGCCACACATACAATTCTGCTTTTAAACACTTGCTGACAAAAAAGAAAGTCTCTTCTCGTGCGTGTGAAGTCAGACTTCAGGAGGAAACTGGGCATGAAGTTGCTGATATAAATGAAAATATTATTAAACAGGGTTTCACACTGCGTGATTATCACTTGTCTAACTTAAACTCCATCACTAAACTGGTTCATTATTGAACAGCACTCAGAGATGAATTCATATTCAGAGAAACAGGCTCCAGCAGATGCTGACATGGTAACGGTGGTCTGCTCGGTCTTTAACTACCTCGCTTTCCGATTATGTGAACAGCTGCGTCACTCTCTTCCCCACTGACCGACCATCGGACCCGGAGAGCATTGCCCACGTTTTCTTTTCTTTTCTTTTTTTCCCTCTTCTTCGCAACCTCTTACTCAATATCAAACCAAATGTCTCGCTGCACAATTTACATGCAAATAAATAAGTATTTATGTCCATATAAGCACTGTTGAGTTTTGGAAAAGAGTATTTAAAAAGTGTGACAAGATTTTTATTTTTGTTTGTTATTTTTATTTCTTTGACCAGCTGACAAAAACGCACATGTTAGCAGCAGTTTAATCAATAACCTCAATGATGGTGTTAGTATGTAAGCTGAATATTATTCCAAGTGTTCCGGTTTCGCTGCAGTCCTCAACTGAAAGTAGTTGTTGCAGATAAGTTTACTTTTCTTGGATTTGAACTTTTCCCACTTTGATTTCATCCATCCTAACCTCGTGATGATGTCAGCAATATGACGCCATCACGTGCATCACTGCCCTACTCTAACCTTTTTTTTAAAGCAAAGACACGAGTTTTCCCTGTTGTGATCAAAGCGTGGCCTCTAGTGGTCAAACACAAGTATTACAGGGGAACCGCATGCGAGTCAAGCCCTTAACAATTGGTGTTGAACATCAGGATTTACCACATAGGCCTGGTCCCTCTAATATTATATTATTATATTATATGACTCTACAGGGTTACATGGGTCAGTAGGAATGTTCTATAGTATTCAGAGAAAACACCCACAATTTACCAGTAATGTTCCCCAAAATGACTTCAGCTTTATACTGAAGCTACACACAAAACGTTTTTGTTACTATATTGTAATGTGTGGGTTACTTTACAAAATGATTTTCTACTTGTATTTTCTATATTCTACCAGTTGTGTAAAAATTGATGCATTAATAAAGTTAACATAGATTAAAGCATATTTGGTTAAATAAATGCTTCCTTGCACATTTAAATACAATCTGCAGCCATTATATGGCAATTTTGCATTATAGCGTTTACTACAGAAGTCAGCAAAGTTTGAAAGACAACACACAGTGATGTTTTTTTGCCTATTATTGCTGAAATCAAGCAACAGTGCCCTCAAGTGGTGACATTAGAAAACAGCAAATCATATTGAATCAAGATTCAAAATAAGAAATAAAACAACTAATAGAATAGAATAACAGAAGAGATGCATAAATTGACTGATTTTTTAACTAGAAAAAAACTCACTCACTTGATGTCAAAGCAAAGTTGTTTGTTATCTGTCCTGAAACCTCAACAGCACCACTGCCAGCTCTAATATGTTCATACTGTCTGTACGTACATCTGAGCAAAACTTAAATAATAATGAAATAATAAAAGTAACTGTGCCTTAAATGCATGGTGCATGAAGCGATGGCGGTCAGTGAAGGCATTCCTCAGTGAGAATTCATTTTTAGACGTCGTAGTGGATACACCAAGTGTTAATCCAAGCCTTATGGCAGTCACTACACTTGGCATGGCTTCCAGCAGAGAGGAGTTGTGTTATCCAGCTCTCTATTGCCTCCTTTTCTGTTTGTGTGCAAATAAACTGCTTTGCAACCACACACTCTGTTTCATTGACTTTGTTAATGTCATGATGTGTGATGTATGTGCAAATCCAAAACCATGTCATTTTTTTGTAGATTCAATGCAGCAAGTTCACTGAAGCACTGACCAGTTTCTCCAGGCACAGTGTCAATTGTGCTGTAAAGTGTAAGTCTGTGCAGTTCCATCTTGCCATTGTTCTTTTGTCCTGTAGTCTCTAAAACTACAAACTGTTCCATTTCTTTATTCATTGCATGTTTCTGTTTTGATGGTGCAGGAGTAGCAGCATGAGCATCGTTGGCCTTATTCCACAACTCAGTAAACTCAGCCTCACAGCACTCGCCACCAGTTCCAACCCCATTAACAGGTCCATGTCCTCTGCCTGCAAGATCACCAGCAGCTTTTGCACAAGGAAAACAAGAAATATGAAGGCAGGCTTGGAAACTTCCTGCAAAAGCCAAGCTGCCTCCATCCCCATCTCTTCACTGCAGACACGCAATGCATCAATCTACGACAATATGGTGGAGATATCCTTAAAAGACACAATGATCACAGACACAGTGGCTAAAGGTCCTGTTCACTTTTGATCCAGTAGTTGTAAAAACCATCCACCTTTGTGCTGTACAGCAGCACTGCACTTTCTGAAGAATTTGTACAGAGTGACTGCTCCACTGCCAACATGTAGCTAACCACCAGATCCAGTTGTTGATTTAAGCAATGCACATAGGAGATTTCCATGCACAGTTTTGAACACCATCAGTACCTCCCAGCCTTTTCTGAAGCCCTGTCATAGTGCAGATTCTGCCAGCTCTGCAGTTATACGTCCAGTCAATGCTTTTGCATCTTCAGTGTTGGATCTTGTGAGCAGATGCTCTGTAGCTTCTTTTGATGCCTATTTCTTCCACAATGGCATCCATTACAACCTTACTTGGTGAGAAGATCACTTCAGTCTGCATATCCGAACTGGTTATATGGGCTATGCCTTATTATTATTTCTCAACTCAAAACAGCCTCTTTAAAAGTGTGTTTTTATGAATATTAATGCTATCTAACCTTACCTCAAGATTAATGACAATCCTGTCTCCAAACCTGACCTTATATCAACCTAATAAAACCTGATAGTGTTAGTTTTGTAAAGCGCCAATTGCAGCGCCTTCACATTAAAGTTAGCTAGCGAGATAACTGGTAGCCTACAGACTTTAATTCAGACACTAGCATGTGTGAAATAGCAAAACAGGCATATAACAAGCAAGAAACGCTATAGTGAAAAACCTCACCCCACCAGTGCAGATGTTAACCTGTAAAGGCAGGTTCAAAGTCTACCTGCTGAGAGCCCATTTTCCCAGAGAGGGGAGCTCATTTTCTGCCAATGTGCGAACCTTAAGGACAGTCAGGCAGGATTTATTTTAGTTGGCACAGCGCACTCCTCAAACAGAGCATATAATCCCCGGATTATATGGTTTCCAAGGGTTTGATCTATCATAGGCTAAAGTTCCTTGTATGTTGTATGAACATAAGTCAAGACAAGTTGAGAAATTGCTATGTTGGGGCAGAAAAACAGGGTCTGTGTGAGTAGATCCAATCTGAGGATTCCATCTGGATACTGGAGTATTCTTTAATTCATGAAGGCCTAGCTTTATGCTTGTTTTTTTTTTTTTTTTACTAATATCACTTTGATCCATTTACAATAAAGTTATTTATAATCATCTTCATTGTAAAGCTGGAAGATAGAAAACAAGACCTGGATAACATTATTCTGGAGCAATTGTTAGAAATTCCTACTTTTTCTTTGTCTGCACTTTTTTGAATTAATTAGTTATTTTTTGTAGTTTGGCCTTCCTAACATTTTCTAACATACAAGTCCCATGAGAGTATATTTACCTTATTATATGCCATAATCATCCATCAAATAAGAATGAACCCTTTAATACTAAAAAAGAAAATCATATGAAGTACCTGAAGAACCATCCATTCAATAAAGAGATTATTTCACTGGTGATGGCTCAATGCCTTTTGAAGAACCATTTAATTTTTCTGGAAGTGGAGATGTAGCTTTGGTGGACCCTGGACTGAATGCTGCCTGTTATAATCTACATTTATTTTTTACCTTAATTCAATTCAATTCAATTCAATTCAATTTTATTTGTATAGCGCCAATTCATAACAGAAGTTACCAGGACACTTTCAAATAGAGCAGGTCAGACCGAACTCTTAACATTAATTACAGAGACCCAACAGTACCACCATGAGCAAGCACTGGCACAAGGGCAAGGAAAAACGCCTGTTAAAAGGCAGAAACCAGACAGATCCTCCGGCTCAGGTGGGGGCGCTGTCCGACCAGTTGGGGAGAGAGAGAGAGAAAAAGAGAAGAAGAAAAGCACAGACAACAGACAGGTGCACAGCAACAACAGTATTGGCAATGGCAGTCAAGCAGGACCATGGCAGGAGGCTCCACCAGGATCCAGGATGTCATTTACTAGTAGTTTATTATGATGATTCAGTTAGAGCTGTTCTTTCCCATCCCAGCCGGTGCTTCACAGCCTGTCACCCAGTCCCTGACGATCAATTAAAGTAATCCACAGTCTTAATTGGCAGTTTTAAGCACCTCGGACAGCGACAGCGGGGTTTTACACTGGATTTAAATACAATGAGAGAGCTGACACTTGATTGTGAATTAGAAAGGGGAGTAAAGAGGAAGAGAGCGAGGGAGAGGGTGGGGACAGGAAAGAGGGTGGTGTGAGAGATTTTCAGAGAGAGGGAGAGAGAGCATTGGTTGGGATTAGCCCTGTGCTGTAGGTTGGACGGGATTACGGAGCGCAGCCTGGCGCAATTCCCTCTACTGTGCTATGGATTTCTCCGCACGGCATTTGTCCGTCTGCCTCAACTGATCGACACCGGCGACCACCTCTCTCTCTCTCTCTCTCTCTCTCACACACACACACACACACACACACACACTCCGCAATCCTGTTGATTTTATTGGTAATACCAGCTATATGGAAACATGGCCGACGTCCCTCAGATCGTCAAAATTGGGATTTCCCTGAAGATGC